TCGCAGAAATGCCCTGATCGGTATTTCTAATAAATGGCTGGATCCCATCTTCAATAAAGATGCCAAATGATGTATGTCATAATGGAATTTCTGTGAAATTCTTTTTGAGCCATCTATCTATACGCCATCCAACTGACAAAGCGTTTGGGCTTTAAAGAGAAATTCTGATGATGACAGAACTTAAAACTCTTACAACAGGATGTAAAAATGTAACTGACAGAAGGGGTTACACTTATTATCAGAAGGTTGTTGGATCAAGTGCTAATCTTGGAAGTGCAGCCAACACTGATTTGAGTGTTTTGAGGCAAAGTTTAACATAGATGAGAATTATTCAGATAATGTTAAGAAATATTTTCAGTTCCTGACCAGGGGACTCAGGGGTATAAAAAAATTCATATGATGTGATTAAATGCCGGCTTTAGTCATTCATTAGCGCAGACTGAAAAAATCGGCTCGCCACATGAGCAGTTTTCACAAGCAAACGGTTTTTAGTTGGGTATGACATCAGACAGCGGCGGGGGGTAAAATCCAGAGCCGCCAGTCAGTGACAAAGGAGGGCCGCAGTGGGCAGGATCAGAGGGGGTCATGCAGGGGGCTCAGCCGGGGAGACAGCGAGCCGACAGGCCTGGCTCCTGACTTTGGGAGGCCGCTGGTTTGAGTCAGCAGTCTGGGTCTGAGGAGATTCAGCAGATAAACAAAAGAAACGTTTGGCTCAAAGTAGGAAAAATAAACCGCGGCAGGCATTCGCAATTTACAGCGGGAGGGGGCCCCTGGCCGCTGTCCTGCAGGCGTGTGACTGTGAAATCCCTTTTTCTTATTTGGTTCCATATGTTAAGAGCCCAAACACAACCTCCTCATGTCCAGATAGGTCCCACAGAAACCAAATCCTCGCCGATGGACACAGTGCATTCCTGCTGCCGCTCGCCAATCCCAATTCAGCTTTAAACAGGAGTTTATATCATTTCAAATGCCTCTGAGTATTTTTTAATTTCCTATTATTCTCAGGATGTTGTTGGATTTGCCCTGAATCTCTTTTCAGGATCTCTATGCTCTTTACGCCACGACCGCAGCGAGTGACGACAGTGAATCACTCGTTTCATTTTTAGTGGCTTGGAATCGTGATCGTTTCCTGTTTTCCACTCTTGTTCTCGCTTGGAAGTCAAAAAGGACAGAGACCGGAGACGATCACGGGGGCCAATTCTGCATTAGCATTGCAAAATCCTGTTGTTTACTAGTCACATATTAATTGTGTAGCAACAGTGAACATGAACCAAGTATATACTGCACATCTAGCATCAAGCTTCTTCTGACCGATCACTGCTACAGAGATGAAGCAGGAACAGGAATAAGAAAGATGTTTCACTACGGATGTGTAAAATTGTACACAACCTTCTGTTGTGCTTTAACTCATGTTTAAAATATGTAAGTCAAGTTCATTTGCTCATTATTTTGACTACCTTGGCTAGACGAAAGGATCTCAGCGATGTTTAGAAAGTGACGATTATTGGTCCACGTTTGGTCTTCCTTCCAGACGACTGTTGGATGTTTTAAGGTGACATTGGAATAAAAGCCACAGAAGAAACTAGATAGAAGTAGAGTGATGTCTGTGTTTGGTTCACGATTTAAGGTCAACTCAGGTGGCCTAGTTACCTAGATACACAATACCAGTGAAAAGTTTGGACACGCCTACCCATAGAAAGATTTATTTGTAGATATTACAATAATTATAAAGACATCAAAACTATAAAATAGCATCTATGGAATTATACACTGACCAAAAAAAAGTATTAGATAAAAAAATATTTCTTGGGGGGGCAACTCTGTGGGTTGGTACACAGAAGGTTGTTGGTTCATATCCCTGATTAGGCAGAGTGATCCCACCATTGGTCCCTTGAGCAAGACCCTTAACCCGCCTTGTCCCAGGGACTGACTGACCCTACTGTCTCCTCCTTCCATGAGGTGGCCTCCTGGGATGCTTTTCCAGCTCCTGAAGGAGGTCCCACATACTGTATGGGCTCATTGGCTGCATTTCCTTCACTCTCTGGTCAAACTCCTCCAAACGATTTCTACTGCATTTGGGTGAGGTCACCAGGTCATGTGTTGCCACATTCTATCACTCTCCTTTTGTAGGCGGCTTGGTGTGTCTTTTGACTGGTATTATATAATTCCAAGTCATGAGAAGGGTCCTTTCTGGTCTGATCTTAATGACCAATTCACCTAAAAATACACTTCTGTGAGGAAAGTATAGAACACAGGCAGTCTACTGAGCATGAGGAATAGTCATGCAGCTAAAGCCGACATCCTTCATACTGTTCTGAACAGCAGGTCCTACTTTGGTGATCCTTCTCCATGGGTTCTGGCAGCTTTTGCCTGCTGTGGGGTGTATTTTCCTGGCCTGGTTCCGGTCTCCTCAACCTTTTAGAAGGTACGGTGCATGCCAACAAACACAAAGGTCTTCGGAGTGATCGTATTCGTCCTGCGGTTCATCCTGAATTTTTCCATCGTGATAGGTGAGGATTGTTCCAGGATAACAATCGCCCCCCCCCCCCACCACAGGGCACATGTGGTCAACAGAGCTCATTTGAGCTTAGAAGACATTCTCGAGCATCACTTCAGAGCATGTTTTCCACAATCATCAACAAAACACTAAAGTAATCAAGTTTCTCGTGGAAGGACTGTGTGGCGTTCCTCCAAAACACTATGTCTGTATAACCTCTGCCAAGGTTCACTGAAGTTATTCTGGGGAATTGTCATCATTGCTCTTTATAACAATAGGACAGTAATGACAGAAAATGATAGACTCCTACAATTACCTATACATTTAATTACTGGCTTAAGACGGCTTGATACCGTTACCACTGCATTTTTAAAAAACATTATGTTGAATAGAAAAATTCCGGGTAGATGTCAGATTTTGGGTGAGTACTGTGTTAGTACTGAGATAGTATTATCATCAATAAAAAGAGGTTGGCACCCTAAACTGGGTTGTTCCCTGCCTTGTACCCATACTTTCTGGGATATGGTACAGACCCCCAGGACCCGGTATAGGACAAGTGGTATAGAAGAGGACTAACTGAGCAAATGATTGAACGATTGAATGAATGGATGGTTGAATGAACGGATGGATGGATGGATGGATGGATGGATGAGCGAACCAAAAAGGGCTTTTAACAGAAGAGGTCAGTCCAAGATTTTACAGATACTGATCACTTTAAACATGAGTCTCTCTATCCTATGTCTGTCTCAAGAGTGGAAGAAATATACGAATGAATATCAGCTCCTGGGCTTCGGAATCTATGACCCAGGCTGTGAAGTTTCACCGCGCTGAACAAATCCATAAACGCGAAGCTTCTTACGTCCAGAAGGGGGCGACAAAGACTGGAATATCTCCCCATATATCAGAATCGCTTAGTTAATGCGGTGTCACTGAAGTTTGAAACATTGATTTGAATTTGCAATCAGACCGATTCGGCGCAGTTACAGTAAGTGCTTATTCTCTTGCAACTCTTATTTGAATTCGTTATTGTACATGACCAGCTTTTGAGGTACTTAAAGGTGGCTTCGTGGGTACCGCTCTAGCCTCGGGTCGGGAGTTTAAATCCCGCTCCTGCTGCGTGTGTGTGGAGTTTGCATATTTTCCATGCAGTTAGGTTAATTGTCACAGTGTGTGTGTCCTGCAGTGAGATGGCATCCAGGGTGTATCCATGCCTTCAGTGACACCCCCAGATATTTTTTATAGTGGTGGCCAGATGGGGCCACTGAAAACCTTGGGGTGGCACAAAAGCCAAAAGCCATGACCGAACTTCCGGAATTCTATTATGCCATTGTAGTATTTAGAGTAGCTGAAAACTACGTTATTATGAGAGTTAAGGAAATACGTTCTGATATCTTTGGGCTCAAATTTTGTAGTTAATGTTACTAATTTGATGCATGTTTTGCAGCATATGCATATGCAACATTCCGGGGGGGGGGGGATTGTGTCCGGGTGCCAATCCCTGCGCTGCCTGGGATTGGCTCCAGACCCCCATAATCCTTTCCGAGATACGCAGGCAGCGGGTGGATGAATGGGCAAATGAAGAAAAGCTTTATTGCAAGATTTATATCTGTGTATTCATGAGAAAAGCATACAGATTAGATGTGTTTCGCCACTTTTCGCTGGGTTTGAAATCACATCTCTTTATTCCTTTCAAGACTACTAAAGACTAGCACATACTGAGAAATGGGGGGCATTATCATTTTACAGCTTATCTGAATCTTTTTTAAAAAGCTGGATTGTTTTACTGACTGATTACGCTGGCCTTGGATACAAAACCAGACGCCCTCCGGGGATTTGCACTTCTCCGTAAAATACGCAGTCTTTTATACACTGGCTAAAGATTTTGAACAGCTGCAAAATATATGTATTCATTCACCAATTTCTCCGAGTCTCTGTGAGCCTGGAGCACGTCCTAGGCAAGACAAAGCAGTTTATACACTGGAGAGAATATAAATCCATCACTGATATGCTTTCAATCACATTGTGTCAATTTAGTGATGATAATTCACGTAGGACATGTCTTTGCACTATGGGAGGAACCGGGAGCCCCCACAAACAAGGGGGGGGAACGTAGTCCACGGTCCTGGAGGTAACGGGCCACGGTCTTGCTCAATGAACTCAGTACACCAGGGGGTGCTGCACACTGACTGACCTTGCACTCTGCTGCCACCCCCCTCGCTTGCTCTCAAGTATAAATGTGTTGTAGGCGGAAGGAATATTCCCACAAAGGGATGAAATTATCACGATTCTATTCTATTCTATTCTATGAACCACCATACTGGCTGGCAAAACCATTATGGAGTTTAATCTGAGTCCTGCAAGTATAATAGAGACAAATTCAAAAAGGGTGACTAAATTCATTTTAGATATTGCCATTTTCATGGCGTCCACTAGCAACGGTGACATTTTAAGTCCTGTATTAAATTATACTACCAGGATAGCTATGCAGATGTTAAAAGATCGTTGAAATTACGTCACGCACAGCTGGCGCTCTGCGCATGCGCGGGCATTAATCCCCGAGGCGTTCCGTGTGTTGCTGTAGTTACCGAGAATCAGATATTTAGGGGGGTTACCTGATGCTACACTAAAATGGCCGGGATAAAAGGTAACATTGAAAATTTCATAATTATTAATAATTCATTTGGCCACTGTGGTCTTGCGTGGAAGATCCGAGTGTTTGGTTGACTGGCGTTGCATCGCCTTGGGATCCCACATTTGGGATGAAAGGCAGGCCAGTCAGGCTAGCTAAGGTTAGCCTAGCAGTGAAAACGTTTGTTTATAGCTGGTTATCCTCAAGCGTGTCACTGCATATAACTGGAGTTAACCAACTTGCCACTGTAATTTAGCACAGCCGCCACAGAGTTTGCAGTCGTGCGGTGTTTGCCTCGTTAGCTAAGCGGTCATCGGCGTCTGCCGCGGCGGTGTTAGTTGGTGGCTAACGTTAGCCTGATGGATTTACTGACATAAAAGGTTTTACCGGTGCGTTAGCAGCACTGTGCCGTTTTTAAGTTCGCTTTTTAAGTTAAGATCATATGCAATAATGTGTCTTGAGCATCTGTTGGACTTGTGTCCCGTCAGCCGTATATAAAGACATGCTTCTTAGTGGCTGGTTAAAAAGCTAAGGGCAGCAGATGGATAGTTACCTAACCGCGGATGCGGGGAGTTGGATGGATACCTAGCATTCTTTGAATGGTTTTTAAACTAGTCATCAGTAACTGCAGGTTTTCATAATACAATTCGGAGGCATGTTCTGCTCGTTAATTATGTTTACTTACCATTCGTCACTGTCGCTAAATGTCACACCTAATTTGTTATCAGTTTTAGGCAGCCACATTGCGTTATTCTAAATATTCTTATTTTTGATGTGCATTTAAATTTAGATATGGGGAGAGAAGCATGTGCAAGCTAGATTACTTGTCTGTATCTGCACAGCATGTAATCAAACTGTAACCGAGCTGCCCGTAGAGGTGTCATGTAGAGACCATTTCGGATCATTTTTGTGCGTTTGCTCAGCACGTGTGTCGGAGTCAGAGACCCCTAAATCATTTAGACATCTGTTAGCCTGCATTGCCTTCACATGGCAAGCTTTCTGCTTTACACAGCATAGAGTTTCATTATACTTATAAAATAAGCAAACAACATCTGATCGGCTCTGCATTATCACCATCCATAATCTGTCCTCACTTGAGCTAATAGGAGAGTTGGGGCACTGAGCCCAGATTACGGCTGAAGTGTCACGGTATCGTCAGCGTGGAGTGATAATCGTCCGCCTCACCCTTGTGCTGTCTCACTCTTTCCAGCTCTCATCAGCCTATCCTTTGGCGGAGCCGTTGGCCTCATGTTCCTCATGCTGGGCTGTGCGCTTCCAGTGTACGAGTGAGTGTGACTCGTTCCCAAGACACGATCCTCTCTGTGTGCAGAATGTCGGCCTACGCAGTGACCGCAGTAACGCGTTTGTTCAGCAGGTGCTTTAATCCAAGGCGAAGAACTTTTGATATGTACATGGTTCTGATCTACGCAAGTGGACTTCTGCTGAAGAAATTCGTTATTTGCACTGCCACATGAGCCACTGGATGTTTGTGTTTTCTCTGTGGCCTGTTGTTCCAACATTAGTCAAGAAATCCCAGGATGCACTGCTCACCCTGCCTTCTAGGGCTGGTGCAATAATTATGGTCTGTCTGTGAAGTTAGAGGCTCATTTGTACCACGGCTGGGTCCATGACATTGCGTTGTGACTTCTTATAGTAACGTGACAGTAACCACCTCCTCTCCCTGCAGTGAGTACTGGCCCCTGTTCGTCCTCTTCTTCTACGTGCTTTCTCCCATCCCGTACTGCGTGTCGCGGAGAGTCACCGACGACACGGACGCCACCAGCAACGCCTGCAAGGAGCTGGCTGTGTTCCTCACCACGGGCATCGTGGTGTCCGCCTTCGGCCTGCCCATTATTTTCGCCCGCGTTCACGTGGTGAGTATGCGTGGACTTCAGAGGCCATGGCTGAGTAGAAGCTCTTAAGCAAACAAAAAATTAGGAGAATTTGCACAGCATTAAAATAGATATACTCTTGTGGTATATTACGTGAAAGCCGCGTGTTCTTGTTGACACGACTGACATTCTGGTGTTTCCCACAGATCGCTTGGGGAGCGTGTGCGCTCGTACTAACTGGTAACATCGTCATCTTCGCCACCATTCTGGGATTCTTCCTCGTCTTTGGCTCCAATGATGACTTTAGTTGGCAACAGTGGTAAAAATCCTTTCTGGGTGGACTTGCTTTAATTTTTAATTCTAGTCCCTGGTTTTATTTAAATGAACTGCCATCTGTTGAGTTGAGATCGTTGAGACGTGTGCAGTAACCAGTGATCTGGTTTCATATGGACTCGATAAGTTTATTATTATTTTTTTCTTGTAAGCTGAAACATCCCTCGAATAATTAGAGAAAAAGCTTCTGAGGGAGCGAAATGGGTCCTTAAATCTGATCCCTGTAATTACACAAACTAAGCTGCGTTCCATATCTCTTCCTGGCCTCTCTCTAACCAAATTTTAGGTGAAGAGCTTATTCATGTAAATATTTACCTTCTGAGGATAGAGGTCCCTTAAAATGCCTGTGAATGCTGTTTTACTTTATACAGATTGTCTGTGAGTTAATGGGGATTACAGGGCAGTTGTTTTAGAAATGAAATGTATACGTATCAGTGAGTGATGCACTGAAACTCAGTATGCATACCTGAAGATATGTGATCTGTCACCCGCCTGTGTTCAACCGTACACATCCTCTGCATCTCCACTCTGATGCACCATGATTATACGCTCCTGTAGTGATGGTCTTCGGCACTGGTGACCCAAAGGGGACGCTGCTTGCGTCGCGTTCGTACTACATTTGAAGAGTTAGGCCTAAAAGAGAATTGAAATCGACCTTGGCTTATATTGCAGCGCGAACAGACGCAAAGGCGCAAGTTTGGACAAACCTTATTCTTCATTAGGTGGGTGAAGAGCTTTACTGCTGCTTTAAGTGCTGTGCACGTCCCCCTTTCCATTCGGAAATGTTCATTCAGAGACATTTCACTATAAACACTTAGCTTTGAATGTAAGTTAGCGATTAGTGACAGCAGTTTGGAACATGACGCTTTCCGAGACTCGGCGTGTACTACACTGGCTTACGAGATGAAGTTGGACTAAATTCTGAAACAATATCATCCCAGCACGATCTAAGCAGATCACCATACGCGTAGATGTTTAGCAAGGTATCGTTACAGTGGTTTTCCTAAATCCATTATCCGCCACAGATTCCATTGTTTGTTAATAAGCTGACAGAATCATCTTCAGTCTCACCACTAAAGAGGAAGTTTTCATTTAATCTCATTATAAGATGACTATCCCTATAGATAACCCAGCTTTAGACATGGTTAAAATATAACTACACTGACATAAAAGTTACCAAAAGTCACTTGCATAATTTCTGAAACTCTAAGAAAACAGTAGTTTCCATGTGTCACTATTGTTTGGTTAGTGTTTTCTGATTGGTTGGATCTCTTTATGAGCTGCCTTTGCTCATGTATGACAATCTATCCCGCTGCATCATGGCGTATTTTAATCTCCCTCATTCCAGCGTTCACTACAGCACGGTTTTCTGGTACAGTTTATTCATGTGATGCTTCCAAAATTTCACGTTATTATGGTCCAGAGCGTGCTGACCGGAGGAGTCTGTTCTGTAATGTGGATTTATGCTTCCTGGTTTGAGTTTCGCCATGATCCTCATAATTACTAGCTGTTCTGCAATGTTAAATCTGCTATCTACTGATAAGTGTTAGGTTTGTTCTTCAATTGTGCAAATAAGTGTGTGTGGTTTTTTTATTTATCACGGTATTTCAGCTGGTTAAAAGAAGGGACAATAGTCATTGAATTATTTGCATTATTTATATAAGCTATTGTTTTGCACTTTTTTAGTTTTTGTTTATTTTGGATTACATGGTCTGCATATGTATCCCATGATGCAACCCTTGAAATATGAACATGTGTTTAAACCAGTTGCATCTTGATGTTATCAGACATGTAATCAGATTATTCTGATGCAAGTGTCTTGTTTGATAACTGAAGTAAAATCAAGTCCATTCAACAGTAATCTTCTTGTATATACAATATAAGACCATCTGAATGCTGCACAGTTGATCCAAAATGCCTCACTGTGAATATATGTTTAGCACATGGTTTTGCAAGATGGTCGGTCTGTGTGTAGAGCAGGCTGAGGATGATCCTGTCTTCATTTTGTGTTAAACCTGTATCTCTGTATTCTTTAATGTATGCTGGAAATAAGTGAAGGGCGTAATGAAAGGGAAATCGTGCAGGTTTGTTACAGCTGATGAAGTCGATATGCATATAAAACTTTACTTTTTTTTGGGTTGTTTTTTATGTTACTTTATACTTTTTGTCAGTTTCTTAATTTTGAAGCAATTATGTAATTTTTGTTTATTTATGAGGATGTATATGTAAAATGCCCTGACCGCTGTTGTGTTGAATTGGGAATATTTTGAGGGGAAATAAACCTTTTTTTGGTTACCTTTACAAGCTGTCATATCATGGATTTGTGTTACTCGACTACCTCTGTGGTAACTTGTTTTAAAAACGTTAGACTGTGTATCATTACTCTGTACTTATTAAAGGGGGTATTTCATCGAGGGCAGCTTGGTGGCTCCAAGGACTCCAGGCCGTTTGGCATCACACTGCTGTGGTTATCGGTTTAAATCCCACACCTATCACTGCGTGGGTGGAGCTTGTTTATTTTTTCTGTGTCCGTGTGAGTTTCCAGCTTCTGCTCTTGCTTCAAATAATGTGCTGGTGCCTATGAATTACCCTGTCTGTGTGTGTGTGTGTGTGTGTGTGCGTGTGTGCGGTTGAATCCCATTTGAGTTCTGTGCATGGGTTTCCTCCTGGTTTTGGTCTGGTGTTTTTGTATTTTCTTTATTTTTTGTGTGTGCGTGCACACGCGTGTGTGTATGTGTGCATGCATGCGCACGCACGCACTGTGATGCCCAGTGCTTCGCTCTGCCCAGTGCTTCGCTCTGCCCAGTGCTTCGCTCTGCCCAGTGCTTCTCTCTGTGCCTTTGATCAGAAGGTCATGGGTTCAAACCCTGACCTCGACAGAACAGTCACATCTCTGTTGGGCCCTTAATCCCCTGAAATGCTCCAGGGGGAAAAGCTCCAGATAAATGGTTTATGTGCTTAGAGCCCAAACTTCACTCTCACCTCTATGTGTGTCTCAGAGGAGAGCAGGACCGTTCCAGTGCACCTGTGCTTATGTGCAGAGCTTCATTTCAGAAACACATAAGCCCGTGCTAGTCACAGCACGTAAGTGACTATGGGAAATGTATGGAGAAGGTAAAACAGCGATAGGAAAAGTATTTATTGGGACGGCTAATGCATTCAAGACAAAAGGCACTTTTCCACCGCACCAAGTACGGAACTTTCGGTTCTTCCGTTTTTCCATTGACTTCCAGTCGAGTACCAGTACCAGACATTCCAGTACCTAAAGTGCCAAACCAGCTGGGGTAATTCTTTGGTACTTTGGGGTGGAACTTGAAACGCCGATTGAGACGCAATACAAACACCGCCCTGAAAACTCAGAACTCAGAAAATAATGATAAACGAAGTAAAAAATATATATATATATGATTCGGTTGTAAGAACAGATACAACAAAAAGATCTGGATGGCATGACAAGAAACGAGAAAGTATTTTCCTGAATATACTAATACAGCAGACGTATAGCGCTGTCCTAGCGATGTGGTTTCGTTATAAATAGGCTGTGTATTATATAAATAGGATGTGTATTATATAAATAGGATGTGTATTAAATAAATAGGATGTGATTTAGTTGTAATAAATATTGGGGTATTTATAAAGCAAAAAAAGAAGTTCATGAATTGGATGTGCATAACGTGATGTTGGTATTAATATTGCACATCATGCAGCCCTATAATACACTACAGCTACAAAATACCCTGGCTGTCATTATGATGTCATTCGGCACCAGTACCAGTTTTTACACCATTGGAAACCCAACACCTAGAAGTACTATATTTTTGGTACTTTTTTGAAGTAGCCAAAAACATTCCAAGCTAGTTACTACTGTGAAAAAGTAGAATACATATGAAGTACTTAAAATGTACTAAGGATATGACACGCTTAACATATTTGAGCTATCTTTTACTGGTCAGACTGGTCTCAAACAACACAGAGTGGTTAGCCAAAGATAGCAATTTGAGGCTGCTGTGTGGCTGTATGGCTACAGTCCCGGCTCACATCTTCCAGCAGGGAATCACATAGTCAAACAAACGAAAACATCCGGCCTTAAGCTAACAGCGCAACGACGAACAAAAATACAAGAAACAAACCTTCATGTCATCCTCCTATATATCTACTATATATGATTGAAAACGATGTGCTACCGTGTGTCTAACCTTGAGAGGAACCAGCCATTTTCATATTAGAAAAAAGAGATATTAGGCAAAAGCACATGGTGGATTCTTTGGTGGGGGGGTGGCCATGTTGGGACAGGTCAGGTGACCATTCGGTCAGCTGATTAATTCCATTTGTGTTTTCTTGTCTCCCAGTGATAGATTACATTGTTCTCTTTTTGTTTCGCTTTTTTTGGCATTGAAGCCTCCTTTGCTGTTTTGCTTTCTACAGAACCTGATGGGTACTGAGCGCATAGCTTCCCCTGTCCCCCAGCCCCCTGCCTCATTCTCCTTTCTTTTCTGTTATTAGTGCAGCATGTGCTGTCTCTCCCCTGCCTAGTGCACTCTCCAGGGAGGGGTTTCTCAGGGGCCTCTAGCAGGGGCACGGGGGGGGGGGGCATCTCAGAATTCACCTGTGGACAATGAAGAGCAAGCGAGGGTAAGCCACATGTTACTATCTCAGATAAATGATCACATTTCCAGCAGAGCATTGGTATCGCTTTTCAGCCCAGGAACGTCTTAAACACAGATATCTCAGCAGCAGTAGAGGAGAACTACACAAGCATTGTCTTCCCTGCTGACTTTGTGGGCAAAGAAGCCTTTCTGAGGTCCTACAAGACGAAATGTGAAAGTGAAACAGGTGTGAAAGGTTGGTTAATATTTCCTTCCTTGGATCTGGTGGTTTTGGCAAATGACACAAAGGCTAATGAAAATGATCAGCGTCGCCATTTTAACAAAGCAAATCAGGTTAACCAAAATTATTTTAACAAATATAATTATAGTATGTAATTATAATACATTATAATAAATATAATGTGATTCCCTGAGGAAAATCCTCACTCTGTGAACCTAATCAGATGAAAATAATGTGAATGTAAACTCTAGTCTTTGACGCAGACGTGCTAAATGCAGGGAATCCAAAGGCTTTGTTATTGGGTCATATTGCAGTATTACGCTGCAGCACTTGGTGTCAAAATAATCCGTAGGTGTGATAAATGTTTCTCCCCACTCCTGCAACCCCCCCCCCACGCCACACGTACGTTATCTGGGAGCAGATAGGCAGTTTCCACATAGAAATGGGAGAGTAGCCAGCAAGTGTGAACGGAAACATTCTGTTTCAATAACAATCCGTGCGGAAAATGGTCCATTTGCTGTTGGTCTTGGCATCGGACCGCTCCTCTCTACATCTCCGCATGTGCCGGTCCAAATATACCAGAGAACTGAAAGTATGTGTTAGTTATAAAACAGGCAAGGGGGACTCGTTTACCGTTTTGGGTTTGGGGCCTCATTGGCCTGGCTTACAAATGAAATTCCCTGATCCGCTCCGCTAATTAGCCAAACAGATATAATTACCATAAGGCTGGAGCCAAAGGCTCCCACCTCCGGAACTGGGGCTCACATTCCTGCTCCGCTTCCGTGTGTTCGGTGTACGCATGTTCTCCAGTGCTGACATAAATATCCGTCAGTTTCCTTCCATAGGCCACAACATGCATTTGGGTGAATTAGTGACTCAAATATCGCCAGTGTGCGGATTTAAGTATGTGGCCCGCAAAGGACAGCATGATGTTAATCAGATTCAGAGTCAATTCATTATTGTCATCGTACGCAACAGCTCAACTCGACTGTGACAGCAACTCCCTGAACAGTGCAAACACAAACACAAGACGAGACATATGACATGTAAACAATATGTAGAAAATTGGCAGTAAGTATATATAAAAATGCAAATGTGATAAATAGTGGTGATGTGGTGCATGGGGGTGATGTGTAAGAATCCTTTAGTGCCTGGTTTAGCCTGGTTACCACACTGGGGTATTAAGTCTGGCAGTTTGGGCAGTAACTGCCCTGTTCTATATGCGTGATGGGAGCAGTTCAGACGAATGGTGTCCAGGCCGTGATGCATCACCGACAATGTCTGTGGCTCTACGAAGACTACAAGAGTTATAGATGCCTTACGGGGAAGATAGCGGAGTGCCGGCAGTCTTCTCTGGATTCCTGTGTCTGGCCAATTCTCTTTCGGAATCCATAGGTTTGGAACCGGAACTCAGAGAGAGTGACTGCTTGGTAAGACTTATGTAGCCACTCTAATCGTTTGCTTAGAACATTAAGCAATCCCTAAACTGGGCATATCCTAGGGAGTTACACAACTTACGGAAACTTCTCTGTGAAATATAAGATGTGTCTCTAACGTTACTGCAGTTTGTTAGTATTACCTGTGTTTTTAACATCATCATCTTTATTATACAATAGGATCGTATTAAAGCCTGTATGTTGTGTGTCATGCTTCTTGAAGATCTGCAGTTTAGGGGCGGCATGGTGGTACAGTGATTCGCATTGAATAGGACCAGCAGTCATGAATGGATGGGTGTTTGCTGTTTAATCAGCCATCGCAAAGATGTGTTAAGGGGAATAAATTTAGAATATTTATTGCCATGCTACATAGGAATTGACTGGCATGGTCTGACATTTGCTTAGGCCAGATCAGGTCTATAAAACTGTCTCTTATGGTGCCAGAAGGCACCACAGGTGCTGATTTTATAGTAATCCTCTATTTTGACCAATGACATAATCCCATGCTAGTCACTGATATAATGGCAACTTTATTACGCAAATACTGATTGGCTGCTTGTTTGAGGGGCAAAAAGGGCCTGGCTTCATTTTGCTATGGTAGTACGCTGAGAAATTTCACACTCAGGTGCTGATTAGTCTAAGTGACATAGCACTGCTGTCACATGCCTGGACAGTTACCATGCCAGAGACACAGTAATGGTCCACACTGGACCTTCACTGGACTTTATACCAGGAGAAACATGGTCATAGAACATTCAGTGTACCTACATAATGCATGCATAAAACATTCAGTGGACCATCATAATGCATTCATAGAACATTCAGTGTACCTTCATAATGCATTCATAGAACATTCATAAGAAGCATGCAAGTACACCTTAACATCCTAACATACCTCAACAGCTTTAATGTACATTAATAATAAACATCATATGATTATACGATTATAGTGCATGTTATTAATGTAGACTTTGTTCCTCAGAGTCCATTTCTGTACCTTAAAAGGTGTATTTACCTACAGCTAAGTGTACAACTGGCAGCCCCTTGAGGGTACAGCCCCACTGACAAGCAAAGGTACAATTTGGGACTCAGTATAAATGCTTCTTATGAATGTTCTATGAATGCATTATGATGGTCCACTGAATGTTATATGAATGCATTATGAAGGTACACTGAATGTTCTATGAATGCATTATGATGGTCCACTGAATGTTCTATGAATGCATTATGAAGGTACACTGAATGTTCTATGAATGCATTATGATGGTCCACTGAATGTTCTATGAATGCATTATGAAGGTACACTGAATGTTCTATGAATGCATTATGATGGTCCACTGAATGTTCTATGAATGCATTATGAAGGTGCAGTTAATGTATCACGTTACCCATCTTCCACTTTTTAATAACCAGCCCTGTGTTTCTCACCAGTGTAATTTGACGATGCTCATTAGGATTAAAGAGTTTTGCTCACGCTTGCAACACCATCCTTGAGCTTGGAGAATGACAGCAACATTCACAGACTCAAGCAATCGATAGCAGTTTCATTTTAATTATTTTTAATACATGTTTGACAAATGGCTTCAGTGAAAACAAAGAAACAGGAGACCTACAGTATCAGAGAGATACGTTTCAAATTCCAGCGTACTGACTGAGAAGCTTTTTGTGCAAGGTTATATTTAGTAAAATGGGGTGTGACTTCTATTCTTCTTCAAAGCCAGCACATACTCTAACAGAAGGCGGTACAGTCATATGATCCCCCCGGGGTCATGTAATCCCCAAGTGTCACTCTGCAGGACCCGCAGTGAAGGTCTCTACGTTTCAGTTGTACTTCAACAACAAACGAGCTCAGCACAGAAAAACGGAATCTAGATCACAATAAAACATTCAACTAATTGAATGCTCAGATGATTCAGTAGGATAAGAACCTGCACACACACACACTAAACCTCCAATATCAGGAGGAACCTCCTTTAATTATACTCAGTTACCATGTTTACAGTGTACGATTTACTTGTTTCTCTCTCCCTCTGGTCCCTTCATTTTATATCACATTTTCACACCCAATACTGATAACGTGGATCAAACATACAGTTCGCTGTTAAAATGGTTACATTGGCAAAACTAAATATAGACCACTTTCCATATTCAGATTAGCTGAGCAAAGAGAAAATAAAGGACAAAAAGGACAGAAAGTCCGTTCGTGTCACCCACTGCGGTCAGGCGGCGTAATCGGGAGCTGCGGCCGGCCGGGAGGGGCCGTGTTCAGCCGGGAGTCAGTCTGTGACGAACCCGGGCTCGGCGGGCAGACCCTCGGAGCGCCGCCACTGCACATTGCGGTGTCGGAACCATCTCTGCGAGAAAAAGCGGCGTCAGCGGGTATCGATCGGCGGAGTGTGAAGCCCGGCGCCGATCTGACAGGCTATTTACTTCATAGTATGGAGAATTAGAGCCGAAGTGAAGTAATCCTGCAGGCACAGAGTTTCGGGGAACTTAAAATGCTGTGTCTGTAAGGAGATCGTATCTGGTTAACACTAAAAAAGTATAGTCCGAATCATATATAACTTGTTAACCATTGTTTATTAAACAGTACTTTCATTCACTCGTCAAAAAATGAAACAGATTCTGAACCAAATTAACTAAATAGCAGTTTCCAAACAGCTGTCATTTTATTTTGATGAACCTATTCTGGAAGGTTTCAGTTGTGGGAATATAGACTGGCATATTCACTGTGAGCGTATGTGATTTAAACCTTAAAGATATGCCAATCGTCCTACAATAGTCCGCGGCAGGAGTTCAGATCCGCTCTTTCTTACTCACCATGGCGCAACCTCCGCCCTTTAACACAGCGGTCAAAAGCCTGATTGACTCCTTGGCAGTACATGCTGCCCAAACCAGGATCACTTAGCCGGCCAGTGCCGGGACCCGCATTCAAGTCCATACAATCGGCTGAAGAATAGCGGCCATACAGGGACACCATGGTGCGGCTGGCAATCGCGGCAAAACTGCCCCTTGGGAATAAACCAGGGCCCCCGGAAAATCGGGGTGTGCTTTTTATCATCGGTTAAAACGAGAGAGACATAATACCCGGGTGTGAGAAAGCCCCTAAATATTTAAATATTAATCCCCAATTAATTTGCCAGTAGACTGTTTATGTCTCGCTCAGGGCACAATGTCCGCTTTTGTACACGGGGACCTAAAAGAGGGCAGAACCGGTTTGTGTGCAAAGAGGAAGGCGGTGTTTGGTATCTTCGTTGCAAAGCTGTGCTTGACAGAAATAGGCTGATCATTCGGGACGGCAACCTGCCTCCGGCTAAAGGTGCTTCCCAGTCATTCCCACAAAACAAGAAAACGTTGCTGGCTGTCGCCGTTGGGAGGAAAAATAACTACAGCCTTACTTGTTTGAGTACTTTACCCGTTCCGTGTTAGATATCAAATTAGAAACCTATTTTTCATTTTGGATAAGGTTCCATTCATTTCCTTTATTTATTATACTTAAAATGGATCTACATCGTAAAATAACAGAATTCTCAGTACAACACTAAACGTTATGTAAACTGTACTACACTGTGTTACTGTACTGTTTGTTTAATGGTTGTTAGTATAGCTGCGTACTAAAATAATCTCAGTTTAACAGCCTATAGTCCTTTCAGGGTCATGCGTACATATTTTACCCGTGTCAAAAGCATTTCAATGCACATGATATTACAGGGTAAACCTCTCGGAACAGGCAGTTAGAAGTTGGGATGTATGTAAGTATGTATGTATGTGCGTATGTATGCATACATGTGTGTGTATGTATGCAGGGGCGCCGTAAGGGGGAGGAAAGCTAGGACGATTCCAAGGGCCCCTGAGTGACAGGGGCCCTACAAAATTAGGAAAATAACTGGATTGGTTTGGACTGGGGGGCCTAATATGATATGCTTTCATGGGGCCCAAAATCTCTAGCAACGCCCCTGTATGTATGTATGCATGCATGTGTATGTAGGCTATGTATTCATGTATGTATGTATATATGCATGTATGTATGTATGTATGCATGCATATGTATGTATGTATGCATGTGTATGTATGTATATATGTATGTATGCATGCATGTGTATGTATGTATTTATGTATATATACGTATGTATGTATGTGCATATGTATGTTCCTGGTGCAGCGGGAAAGCTCCCTGTGTAGCCAGCTTATGTCCCCCGAAGAACAGGCTACCTTTTCACCTAAACACTGCTCTTCAGGAAGATGGTAAACTTACATGGTGTGTTCCACTGATGGGTCACTACAATGCGTGAAACACAAAATCACGGGGAAAGGTGACATGTAATCTCAGCCCACCGGGATATCAGCCGCATATGGGCTGCAGGGTGTAAACAGTTAGACGATGAGTCCCGGACTGGAGCGCAGCACGACAGCGGCGGCTGGACAGTGGAGGCGAGAGGCGCGCTGTCAAAGCGACTCATCAAAATAACTATTTATTAACTAACCAGCCTTCTAGACACTTCTGCTAGCTCCACTCTAACTGCACATAATACAAACTAAGACAGTTTAATAGCAAAAGAGCATAACTCCCTAATAAAGTTAATCTGATATTTCACTATATCATTTCAACAGGTCAACTTCTAAGTTAATTTTATAGATCAAATGCCTGATTCGAGTAAGACTTTAAGACTATCCCCGAAACGCCATTTTCTTACCATATTTTGAATTTCGTCTTATAATAGAGATTCCTTTTTATAATTTATTCTGATTTGTTCATATAAATATGGGATAATACATCTTCAATGTTTTAAAACAAGTTTAATGCATATGTGCACTAAATGTGGTTAAACGGCAGAATACATATGGATGGATATTACATTATTTCAGACCCTTTTTGACAATCCCAAAGCGGAGATGTTAGGACGGCGGGATACTCACGGCGGTGCGCTCCTCCGACAGTCCGCACTCGGCTGCGATCAGCGTCAGAGTCGCCTTATCCGGATGCTTGGTTACTTTGCTGAAATTTTCTTCCAGAACACGGATCTGATCCTCGGCCAGATGCATATTCGCCATTTCATCCTCGCCTTTTCGACCCGAAGCCATTCGACGATCAGATGTCTGATTTATAGCAGGATGCCTACTTTGGATGATTTGCTCTCCGCTGACTGACGACCGTGTTCTGCAAGTCAAACCACAGCGACAAACTGCGAAACAAGGAGCGAAAATACGGTCACTGGTGACACGCTGACAGGCGAGAGTCACTCCTAGAAAATATCAGGTCTAGATTACAGTTTCTAACTGAATGAAATAGGAGTAAAACATGCCGTGCAAACGCCAGATAAACGGCAGGTATGATCTGCGGTTCTCCTGCCTCTTCTTGTCTGTGGCAATATTTAGCCGGTGATATAAAAGCTATGAGATTTCAGACGATGCACTTTTAAACACCCGCTCGTAGATCGTTAGTCCATCATGGTGAACCAGGAAAGTGCGCATGATGTACGTTATGTACTGTATGTCGTCCTATGGATGCATGTATGCCTGTATTGTCCCTCCGCCAACTTTCTGCTTTGCACTACGTATATGAATTAGCACAAACCACCGTTTTTTAAATCACACCCCCTGCTTTTATGACTCTCTGCTGTGCATAATGTTTTGTATTTTTTCTCTTTATGCCCAAATTGTTAGTTGTCCATTGTCATGGTGTTGGGCAAAATATGCCAAACGTCCTTGGAATAAATAATTAAGGTAATTTGTCCGCTTTATGTAAATTGTATCTGAAGTATCGTAATGCTTAGTGTGTGTGCGTGTATTATGTTTATATTACATTGTGGGGACCAAATGTTCGACACAATGTAATAAACACCTTTTTTTGACGTTGTGGAAAACATTTTTTCAGGTCCCCTAAAAGATCCGAGAATGGAGTTAAAAAAGTGAAAATGTCACAAGTCTCATATTTTGTTTGGTTACTTATGGTTAAGGTTAGGGCTGGGTAGGGGTTAAGGTTGTCATAGTTAGCGTTAGCATTTTTCCCATTGAAATGAATGAGCGGTCCCCATAAGGATATGTTTACCCTACAGGTGTGTGTGTGTGTGTGTGTAGTGTATCCATCCATTTCCTGAAACTGCTTAATCCCAACCGGGGTCGCGGGGGGGACCAGAGCCTATCCTGGGAACAACGGGCGCAGGCGGGAACCAACCCTGGGCAGGCGCCAACACACCGCAGGGTGATGTGTAGTATATGTCACTTGTATATTAATGCCCTTAATTTTTAAATTAATTTTAAGAAATTGTCGCGCACAATATGATTAATAAACACAACCGTATCATTGGCTACAATCCTCTGCAAGTTATAAGTACAGTATGATTACTTCATTCAACTGTAACACCAGGACATTTCGATTTTACTCTTAGGTAAGTTGAGAACGTGTTTACAGCACAGTGGTGGATTCATGCATAGCCGGGGTTCTATCTTAGGGCCCTGCCCCATCTCAGGAGCAATGGAATGGGGAACCTTATTAAATCTGGCCTGCAGATTAATCTGCCGGCAACCTTGCCTGCAGATTAGCAGATTATTTGCATTGTGTCATTTTTTAATTCTCTCGTTTTTCTTTCAACTCTGAAAAGTAGCGTAAATGTCCCATGTGGGAGAAGACGTCCCAGCCCATAGCTCACAGGTTAAGTTTGAGACCCCTGGCTTAGTTAAACCTGAGTGTCCTTCCTGATGTCAACCTAGGGTCTTGACTAAACTAATCCGCCCTGAGAAGAGGACGGTGATCAATCACACAGAGCCAGCCTGAGACCTGACACTCCTGAGGATATGTAGATCATCTTGATTGCTTGTGGGACACCCTTCTGCCTTTGGCTTTCCTGCCACACAAATATGGCAGGACCGTTGAAACGTCAAACAGATCAGTCATGGTGAGCTAATTAAGTGCGTGACTGTATTGCGGGATCTGGTTATGTGATTGTTTACATTCAGTTTGACATGCTTGAGCTGTGTCCTGACTAGCTATTGGTTACTGGAGCCGCTCTTTCTGTCTTCTGGAAACATGAATCATTCCTGGTTGCTTCTCAGAGGCTTCCTGTCCCAGGATGTCCAAACCGCCGGCCTCAGGCCCAGAATGCAATGGCCATATATATGTCGCTCTGAACGTGGGTAAGTCCACAATGCCTTTGGGGAGGCCAGCAGACCAGTCCTCCGTATCCATTTTGGGACTCCCCGGATACTAAATCCCACACCCCCTTTGCTGGACCCCCACTCACACTGCCCCGGTCTTGCGTAGGTTTTGGAGAAGGGGATGATTATGTGGATCTTATATAAGCCAGAGCAGGTCCCTGGGGTGGACAAGAGCATCTGGAAAACTGCTCGGTGTACGTACATGAGGCGGTCCGGTCCAAATCAGGAGCTGCTTGGAAGCGGGAGCAGTAAGTTGGGGTCTCTCTCCTGCTCACATGCCAGTCACCAGTGCTGTGCTGCATTTGGCAAATACCAAATCCTATTGGCACCCAAACATGACCTAATAGTATCATAATTATAGGCACCTACTGGTTTTTTACTGGGAAGCACCCAAAACCCATGGCTGATATTCATATGTTAATGGAATTAGTTAGCAAAAAGTCAAATGACAGTGGTTACCCACCCTCTGCTAGTGGTAATTTGGTTTGTTCTTTGGATGGAGGGCATTCCAGTTTGTAGAAGGCACTGATGGAAGTGTCCCTGATGACAAAGCATGTTCAGATAGTGGAATGATTAGCTGACCCTACTGGGCAGCTCCAGGTCGGGGGAGAGTAGGAGAGGCCACGTAACAGAGATCGATAGCACCTCTGATGAGAGCTGTAGCCTAGACAGCAAATGCACCTGGTTTCCTGAGGAAAAGGGGAACGATGACACAGAGAAGTACGGAAGACTCTAGAAACATGGAGCTGAGTATATGGGCCTGGGCATCGTAATATTCAGCTTCTAACAACAAAGTCTTTTCAAATCCTGATATCAGACACTTAGTCCTTCAACAAGGTCATCTCCAGGTTTAGAAAACACAACTTCTTTTTGATAGAGCAATGTTAAGAATCAACAGCGTTGATGTTAGAATCCATCTGTTAACTTGGAAGCTTCGATTTGTGGGTAAATTACAAGAAAACTTTTAGAGTAACTTTAACATGAACATGTAACATGAAGTTACATTCCAAAATATTCCAAATTATCTTTCTATATTTAGTTTCTTCAGTCATGTCTACCTGAAACGATACCATATTGTACACTAACTCTAAACAAACCCCTGTACAAAGTATGTCAGACCAAATACTGCAGACAGAGGAGAAACAATGACAGGAACAGTGACATCGATCTGATGGAGGTG